CACACGCCTAGCACCCCGTGCGCTCTATACCATTATCCTACGCGTTGCACAAGTAAGCCAATAATGACAGTCGCGGCAAAACCAGGGGACACACACAAACGCCGTGCTCGTGGTACTTTGGCTTCAACTGAAATTTAGCCCATTGCAATAACGTGCGAGTGTGTATGTGACTACAGCAAAATATTGCGCCGGCTAAAATAGCAGGTGTGACTTTACACAAACGCGTTGTGTTCGCTTTTTCAGAACATGCCCACTGTAACCGTTGAATGAATTGTTCGTCTTGCATTAAATGATATAGAAGGAAATCTCATATTAAATCTGTGTGTGGTAAGTTGGTAAGCCGGAAATACAACTTTTAATAACTTTCTCGCACCAGTGTGCCCATCTTACACAAAAGACAACGCAAACGCGCACATGCGCGTGAGGCACGTGTGCTTCCTCCGCGATCAACCACCAGACTCCCGACCCCCTACAATCTCTCTTCCGTCTCCAAAACCCGCCATAATCCCACATGTCTACCCCGTCTGCTCACCACCCATTTTCAACAATGACTCGAGAAATCCTGCACTCACCACACCTAAACACGTTTGTCTACTCACACACGCACCGTACTATTTGGAACCTACATTTTCTAAACACTACACCTAACCACCCAGGCTAATATTCAGACCAAATCTGTAAGCCACATGTTACACCACCATGGCAAACAGGCAGTGGCGTCGACTGTTCGACGAGCAATTATTGAAGCTATTAAACAGATCTACGCAGATTTCAATCGCATGAATAAATACTAATAAATAATAATGATATATAATGATGATTAGATTAATGAAGCTGTTGCAATGCAATTGTGAGTATTGTGTATGAGATGTATGAGGGAGGCTGCCTGGGAAGGCCCGAGGAGGGCTGCCTGGGCAAGGCCGAGGGAGGCCTGCCTGGGGAAGGCCCGGAGGAGGCTGCCTGGGAATGGCCGAGGCAGGCTTGCCTGGGAAGGCCCCGAGGGAGGGCTGCCTGGGAAGGCCCGAGGAGGCTGCCTGGGACGGCCGAGCGAGGGAGGCTGCCTGGGAAGGCCCGAGGGAGGCTGCCTGGGAAGGCCCGAGGGAGGCTGCCTGGGAAGGGCCGAGGGAGGCTGCCTGGGAAGGTCCGAGGGAGGCTGCCTGGGAAGGCCTGAGCTAGGGAGGCTGCCTGGGAAGGCCCGAGGAAGACCAGCTATATCCGTCGAAACTCTTGCTAATGCAAAAACAAAGAGGGCATGCAGTCAGGGAATTGCAAGAATTAATCCAGCTGACCTGTATTAATTCGATAGGTGTTACGCAATGAGCTATTCTTGATACATGGGCAGTTTCGTGTCACGGAACTACTTTCCTAGTCGATCATTAACGAGAGCCTATAATTCCTTGCGGGTGCAATTACACTTCGCTGCTTTATTTGCGAATTTAATAAATCAGATCTGTTTTTTCTTTTTTATGTAAAAAGCTTTTGCTCAGCTAATATGTATGCCTCTAAGTTTGATTGAGTTGATAATTTTCTATCCAGCCCTCGGCAGGAGCTCACTTTCTCTAAAGGGGTTTATTTCACGCGAAGCGTTAATGTCTGGTGGCCTGCCCAGCGGCTTTTCACAAACTCGAACCACGCAGTCACTTATTAATATAATTACTGTCATCCTATCCAGCAAGCTTAGGAAGCTCTGACACGAATATAGCAACGAGCAATACGAACCCCAAGGACACAACCATGCGCAAAATCCGGACTTGTTTAAATACTGGTTAAAGCCAACGAGCTAGGCATACATATATATAGCTGTATATTATAGCTTCTTAATGTAAGGAATTAAGGGGCCAGGCTCCCTACTTAGTTGAACTTCACTACAGCGTTCTTTGGAATCTGTTATTGCTCTGCAAGTTTTTCGACACGTTTGTGCAATTCTGTCCTGTTACATTTCACATTGTATCTACATAGGCTATGCTTATTATTCCCGCGCTCACGCCCAATTACTATAAATTTGTTGTATGTCTTCTAAAATGTCATTCTAATTTTTTTTCACATGAATATATTCCTACGTTTATTTTATATTTCATCCTAATTGAACTGGTATGTGTTAATTATTTATCTAAATTGTAGCAATTAAAAGTCAATCCTAATTGTACTACCAATATTCCCGCATGTTTTCTGGATTATTTCATCATTTACACCCAGTTACAATCATAGTATCAGGAGTAAGATAATATAGGGTTATATATCTTATTATATATCCTATATTATCTTACTCCTGATAGTATTAGTACCAAATGTTTATCCTAACTGTAATAGAATTTTATGCTAATTATTTCGGTCTCTTACTATTATTTTTATTCGACCAGAAGCTTGTGAAACATTATTTTCCGATTTATCTTCTCTCCATTCTATTTTGTACCAGCATCTAAATCCATTTGTCGGAGAGTGTTTTTCTAATTAATGAATCCGTTTCGTGTTACATTACTCTAGGCTTCACTTTCAGGTTTATATCCCCTACATTTTTACAATTGCACATGACATTCTACTGGCTAAAACACGCGTGCAATCGCGTGACCTATTACACAAATTGAGTTGACAGTAAAAGCTATCTTAATTGTACCAACTCCCGCGCGACCGTCCCCACCTGTGTGTGTGTGCGTGTGTGCGTGCGTGCCTGTTTGTGTGTTTGTGCGTGCGTTCGTGTTTGTGTGTTTGTGCGTGTGTGTGTGCGTGCGTGCGTGTGTATGCGTGCGGACGGGCGGGCGTCCGTGCGTGCACACGCGTGTGTTGTGTAAAGTGGTTTCGGTACGAACACCTTATAAACTAGACAGAGAGCACTCAAAGAGAGTGCATACCTCTCAGGCTGGCTCGCTGCTGGCTGCTGCTGACTGGACGCCCTAAGGCGAGCTGCTGCTGACTGGACGTCCAAGGCGAGCTGCTGCTGACTGACGCCCTAAGGCCGAGCTGGTGCTGAAGTCGATCGAGTCGGTTGAGGTATCTATAAACAGCTGGCTCGCTGGCTGGCTAACACCACACACACGAAACACACACGACCGAAACACACCCCACAACACGAGAAGCGATTGACATTACCTCTGCAAAACTCCGTTGCGCGAAGCTGAATGAACAGAAGCACGTAAATACCCAAGGGAATTAATTTCACTTTTACAACTTTTATTTTCCGCCTACAGTCCATACTTACGATTTAAGGAGCATAAACCTTCTTTCAACCAAATTTCACTTGACATTGTAGCCTCGTACGTCCAGGGCATGACTATTAGATCGTCTACTAGAAACCCGGCAGTCAAATTTCTTCTAACAGTAAACAAATACCATGTTGTAACCCTCCCTTGCAGGGTCAAAAGCGTTGATCCGGACACTTACTCTCGGCCATGTCAGCTGAAAGTACATTTCATGGTCCTTTCAATAAAGCCATAAAAAGTGGTACGTCACCGCTGAAACAAAAAAGTTTTTCAAATCGCTCCGTCAGACTATCCTCCTTAGAAAATGCGGTGCTGCCCATTGACCTTTGACCTGTGACTCCAATTTTCGGCACAGTGATGGCTTTTCCTACTTATTGATGCCTATACACCGACTATCACGACCTAGGTCGAGCCTTTAGATTTTGCCGCAATTCTGCATTGCCTCCCTATACCTTAAGTTAAGGAGGAATGTTCCCCCTTCTTTTACACCTCTTGACCTTTGACCTTTGACCCCCAGCTTCGACGTTCCCAACTCGTTTTTCGGATTACCCCCCCCCAGCGTCCCGACTTCTCGAATCCGTACGTCGAGCCGTTAGATCGATATGTGCCACACTGTTGACGGACGCACGCACGCACGCACGGACGCACGACGCACGCTCATGCGATTCTACAAGCTGCTACGAAATGGATCGATCG